GCATCTCGGTTCCCACTGCGGTTGGTGTCCCGACTGCAAGGTAAGGTCCAGTCTCTAGACCCAGCAAGTCCAGACCACGCGCCACGCAGTAGTGTTGTGCCACTAACCAAGGCAGCGAAACCACAGCTGCCTCGAAATAGACCAGAGCGGCACAAAGGGAAATACCAACGTCGTACCGAGCCTGAAAATAAGTGCTAGCCCACGGCGCCGCATCACAACCACTGTTTCAAATAGAACCCGCGGTTATGGTCGGTCGCCTCAATAGTGGACCGAGGTTGCTGCACCAACGCTGTCCTAACAATAGTACCGAACCAATGTGGCCACAACACCGTACCGAATCCGAGCCGGAATAGTCAAATACCAAACCCACTTGGTGCTGCATACCGTATCCGTTCGGACCTGAATAGGTTGTTCCATGTCGACCCCGGACCTATACCGGGCCCGAGTCAAGCCGACGTCGAGCTAGCACCGGATCTGACGTTGATAGCCGCAACGGTAACGAACCTGAAATAAACGGCCGTATTGGTGCAAAACCTGTAGTGGTTCCAAGCCCAGAACAAATGATGCCGAAGCTGAAATAATTGTCGTAGTCGTCCAGGTCCTAAAAATAAACCACGATACTGTCCCCGAACCTGAAGTACGCTGATGCCGAGCTCATGCCGAGCCAGAAATATGCCCTGGACCGAGCCAGATAGAGATCCTCTTTGAACCATGTATCCATACCGAACCAAATACCATACTGTTGGTCCAAAGTAACATCACCCCATGTTGTCCATGCGGCCATCCTCGGAACATCCCGACGTAGTAAGATCAGTGATCAAGTAAATTGGGAAAGTGACACAGAAAATCTCGATCGTCGGGGAATAGTGAAAAATGTTAGAGTTAAGAGAATTTGATCAAACTTGGACTCTGTTCCGACGACGAGTGATCCCAGAAAAATCAGGCGCGGCGTCGAATAATAATTAGCTCTCGTTCGCTCCATCATTTCTAATCATTCCACCTCTTCCGTAATTCTATTATCCGATACAGTAAAACAACCGTAAACTTTACGAAAATAAATTCTGAGGGAGTCTTAACTAAATTGTTGAAATTCTTTGTTTCTTTTCTCCTCTATCATCTTTAATTTTTTCCTTTGCTTTCGATTCCATTGCCGGAAAACATGAAATAACGGTGTATTTTTCCCAAAATCTAAATGCCGCGAAAAACAAAAAAATTAAGAAATATTATGTTTTTCTCTTCCCTCCTACTGTTCTCAATCTTTTCTCCCATTTTTAATTTAGGTACCAAAAATGGCAAAAATCCAAGGCGCTATTTTGGCCTCGATCATACGCTGCAAAAACGTCCGCAGTGGGGTTAGTCCTGTCTCTTATACACATCTAGATGTGTATAAGAGACAGATCATACGCTGCAAAAACGTCGCAGTGGGGTTAGACCCCGCGATGTCCCTTGCGGCCGGCCATTCCAGTCCTAACCTTGGAACGGGCTGAAATGACGGTCCCTAGATATGCCGGGAGCGGCTACCCATTTCGCCATCTTTGAGGGTTACCCGTAAGATTCAGCGCACCCAAAATCAGGGGTGCCCCGAGGTCCCCTAATTTTTGCTGCCTGGTCAAACCAAAGTACCGTCAAAACTCGGACTTGTCCCTGTGCCTAAGCCCCAATTCCGCGGCTTTCAGGCGGCGCACTGCTTGTGACCGCCTGACAGTTAGCCCGGACCACTTTTCGACGCCCCCGTCGGGCCCTATCCACTTTCGTCAAACGAAGCGGATGAGCTGCAGGGTGATCGCCCGTAAAGGACGCCCACGTCGGCGTTTAATTGAGTTATGTTTCAGTTTGTTATGAGTTATAGGGCCAAGTTGATGTTTCTCGACTTTCCTCTTCTTTCGGGATCTCGGCCTTGGTAGGATCCTCTTTTTCTTCTGACGTTGGCCCGAGGTAGGTGCCGACCCGCTAGTTTGTCCAATGGGAACTCTCCGTCTGGCCCGCTTAAGCACGAATATTCATTTATTCACTCTTCCTAATGCCAACCCTTTGACCTTTCTTCTCTCCACTCTTTTCCTCTTCCTGGAACATTCCCTAGCCTCATATCGTCTCGAGGGGGCTCCATCCTCTATTTTGGCCTTCCCTTTCCCTTTCGGGCCCGTCAACGATAAGGTGGGAGCTGGCCTGGGCCTAAACAGCTTTAACCTAGCACCCGCCACTGGGTCCTTCCACTTGGATCCGTCTAATTATGCTATCATATAGGTCCCCCAGTCACGCGCCTCAACCATTCTGTAAGGTTTCATCCATCTGTTGGCGAGTTTTCCGGTCCAGGTCCTCTCCAGTGTTGCGTCGTAGAGAAGGATCATATCTCCTACGCTCACCTTCTCTTTCCTGATCCGCACGTTCTTATCCCATCTCTCGTTACGTTTGTCCCTTTCCACTGCTAGACGATCTGTCGCTGTCATAAGGTTGTCTTCCAAACCGTAGGCTATCTGTCTTCTTCGGGCAACTTTGAGTTCCTCTCTGGATATCTCCTCCGCCCAGTCGACGGTTGTTCAACTGTCGACGTGAAACTCTTTGGGGAGCGGACAATGCTGCCCAAACCACACGGTGTATGGTGGGTATCCAGTGTTAGCCCGGACCGTGACGTTGTCCGCCCATATTGCATATCGAAAATATCGTGGCCATTCGCTGTCCTTACCTTTGCACCACTTGGATAGTGACGCTATCAGAGTCTGATGTCCCCTTTCTACTGGAGAGTTCGATTGTGGGTGGTAGGCAGTGGCTATCGAAACTCTCGCCCCAGCTGTCTTGAACACTCTCTGAACCTCGTCAGCTAGGAATTCCGCCCCTCTGTCCATCACTATCTTGCTGACACAACCATACCTAGATAAGTACTCTAGTACGAAATTCTTCACTTCCTTTGTCGTCTTACTCCTGATAGGTCTACCGTCCACGAACCCCGTGAAGTTGTCTCGTATGTTCACGACATAGTTCATATTGCCTACCCCTTTCAGCATCTTCACCAGATCGATGTGTACCTCCTCCCCTGGTCTGGTTGGATAGGATGGATGAAGTGGCTCTTCGTATTTCACAAGAGCTCTCTTCTGACACTCCTCGCAGGTCATACAATACCTCTCAACGTCCTTATACCGTCCTTCCCACCAGTACAACCTGCGTACCTTTTCGTAGGTTCCTTTGACTCCTCTATGTCCTCCGACCACCCCGTCGTGAAGCTCCGCTACTATCGCCTGTCTCTCCTCAGGATCACAGACTACTCGTAAGGGCATCCCCGACCCTACTGGCCTTCGGAAAAGGTGGCCCGCTCTAAGGCAGTACTGGGCTGCTTGTCTCCGGATATCTGAATCTTGACTCTCCTCTCCTGTCAGGTGTAGCCCGATCGTTCGGTACTTGCCCTCGTAAAGGTTAACCAGAAATCGTTCAGTGCGTCTCGGCTCTGCCAATGTCAGGGCTCCAGCTACTATCGGGCGCTCGACCTTAAGAGGGATCCGCGAAAGCCCATCTGCCACGACATTTTTAGTGCAAGATATCCTATCGACTGAGTAATCATATAGCCGAATCCTTATCAACCATCGAGCGATGGTCGGGTCCGTCAGACTAAAGTCCTTCTGGAGGATCGAGGCAACTGCTGTGGGATCTACTCTCAAGATGAATCGCCATCCGTAGATATAATGTCTGAACGTGTTTAGACACTGCAAAACAGCTAACACTTCCTTTTTGAATTGACTGTAGTTTCGCTCTGCCGTATTAAGTGTCATACTCTCAAATCTTCACGGCCTTTCCTTTCCTTCAGCGTCTTTTTGAGACAGCATCCCTCCAACTGAATAAGGTCCAGCATCCGTGGATACTATGAAGGATCTCTCGATCTCATCGTCAAAGAATGGCACGCCTAGTACGCGTCCTCCCTACTTAAATTCGTCTTTAAGCTCTTGCATAGCGAGTTCCTGCGAGGAATCCCAGTAAAATTTCTCAGTCTTTCGAAGGAGTAACCTCAATGGCTCTGCCTTCTCCGTATACCCCCGTATGAATATCCGCCAGTAACCGACCACTCCAGAAACTGCCGGACCTCGGTTGGACTATGTAACGGTGACGACCAGTTCAGGAGTTTGTCTAACTTCGTCGGATCTGCTCGGCGTCCTCTCGTGTCACAGATAAAACCCAAGATCTTAATAGTCGAGACGGCCCATCGGCTCTTTGTTCCGCTGACCGTTAAATTTGCATCGTTCAGCTGCTCGAGTACCGCGCAAATATCTGTTAGGTGCTGCTTGACGAATCTTCTCACTCCTGGTATAACCTCTGTTTCATCCTTGTCTACTGGCCCTTTTATAGGAAAGTCATCCAGAAAAACTTCAACCTTATCAGGGATGAAGTCCTTGAGGACGGCTACCATGGCTCTCTGAAAAACGGCTACCCCATTAGTCCAACCCATAGGGACAACCATCATCTGTATCAGTCTCAATGGCGTGTGCATAGCCGTGAGGTGCCTGTCCCTAGGATCAAGCGGTACCTCATCATAGCCTGAGAACAAATCACAAACCGAATAAATTGACCTGCCTGCGGCGCCTTCAGCCAGCAAATCGGCGTGTGGCACGGAGCCCACGTCTCGTATCGTCACCACGTTGACCTTTTAAAGGTCCTGGATCCATCGGATCTTACCATTCGGCTTTCGTAGGAAGAACCATCGATTTGCATAAGCGCTATCTGACGGTTCCGCAACATGGGAAACCATCTTTTCCTTCAGGAAAACGATAACTTCTTCCTTCTCATTCTGGGCGTATTTCCATCCTGCGTCATTCCAAGGAACATGTGGAATCGTGTAAATCCTTGCTGGCTTAGCGTATCGAGGGTCAACCCTACCGCACTCTGCGTCGCTGAAAGCTATTGCCTTATCACATGTCTTCAGGATTTCTATCACACGTTCTCGCTCCTGTGGGGTCAGATTCCCATCTCCGATGTCCATCCCTGCTATCCTCTCTTCCGTTAGGCGTTGCGGCTCCTTTTCTTTCTTTCTTTGATTTCTTTTGCGATCTCTTCTTCCGATATCCCTTCCAGTGCAGATCGCTCGCGGCCCACCGCCGCTAGTTTAACTTTTTGTGCTACTTGCTTGTGTCGCTTGGGTAGCCCCCCATAGGGAGCCATGCCCTTAAAAAAGACACAGATACTACCCCGCCAAATTCCTCTTCTGTCCCCTTTGGGTACGAGTTGTCGTCCACTATCAGCTGACTCCCTGAATCTTCCACCTCCACGATCCGACCTTCTTCCTCTGTGAGCAGTGGTCCATACTTCTTATCGCGAAATCGCACCGCACGACCGGAGATAGGTAATGACTTAATCTGATCACTGGGTCTTGCACCCACAGCGAGAGCTGCTCTGTTCCTCGGGTCCCGAGGCTCCACTGTCTCAATCATTACCCGCGTCCCGTCTAGCTTCTTAATTGACAATTTCTGGCTCCCATCCAGTCGCTCTATCGTCACCGCATGGACGTGGCTCAACCACGTTCGTCCCAAGAGCAGATCGGAGTTGTAGTTCTTGACTGCAAAGACAGGTAGGGTCACTCGTACCCCTTGTACCTCTATGGCTGCCTTGTGACAAACCCCAATGATCTGTTGCTTTCTCCCATCAGCCGTCTCTATCTCGAATAGGTATGACCTATCGAGGCCCAGTCCAACCTGCACTGCCAGATCCTCGTCTATAATGACAGCCTCACTGCCGTTATCGACCACAACATCTAGTACCGCTCCGTCATTTATGATCGCCTCCACGGTCCCACTACCAAGTATGTAAAACTTGTCTGGAGGCACACCTTCCATCCCATCAAGAAGGACTGTCGCCATGCGATCCGCTCTGGCAGTCACCCCCGTTACTGCTACAGTACGAGCTTCCGCCTTAGGGGCCCCTTGAGCCTCCTCTGATAGAGGTATGCGAGTCTTCCGCGTGATCATCTGTAACTCATCGCGAGCAGGCTTCGATGTCGCCAGGTACTCCAGAATAGAGCACTGCATGGGCTGCTGAAGGACCCGCCATAGTGGCTCGACCGTGTCAATCTCGTCCAACGAACTCTTTATCAAAAACTTAATCACTCCCCGCTTCGGCGGCGAAAGAATAACTTTCTCTCCCTCGATCCGTTGTCCGTCCTTCTCCGCCATCACGTAATCCGTGTCAGTCTTCGATGTAGAACCTCTCGCCGACTTGGTGGCTGCCACCCTTATGGGTGTGGTCGCCATATCCCCCTCAAAAGTTATCTTGATGCTCTGGCTCCTGACCGGCTCCTTTCCTTTACTCGGCTTTACTCTCCTTGCTTCGACATTCTCCTTCATCGAAGGGAACATCGATACATCTCGCAGATCATCTGCCCACTTGACGTACTTGCGGTCGTCAAGCACGACAAGTCCCTCATCTATCGCCCGTTTGAGATCCGGGCAGTCTCTCTTGATATGATCATCCCCTCTACAGTAGACGCAAGAGTTTCTGGGAGTGGGCGGCCTGTCGTCTGCACTCCTAGAAGTCGAACCCCTGGCTGCTCTGGGGTCAGGGGACTTTGGATATGGACCAACCGAAGTGCCATATCCCCCTCTCTCATTCCTGCCACGCGAATTATTGCGGCGGTCTCCGTATTCGTATCGCCCGCGTGAATCATCACGTCGGTCTCCTCGGTCGTATCTCCCGCGTGAATCATCACGTCGGTCTCCTCGGTCGTACCGCCCGCGTGAATCATCACGTCGGTCTCCTCGGTCGTACCGCCCGCATGAATCATCACGCCGGTCATCTTGGTCGTACCGTCCACATGAATCATCGGGTCGATCCCCTCTCTCATATCTGCCGCCCCTGTATCCGTCTCGATCCGTCCTCTCATATCTGTCGTCTCTATATCCATCTCGGTCCGATCTCTCATATCTGTCGTCCCTATGTCCATCTCGGTCCGATCTCGCATATCTGTCATCCCTGTATCCGTCTCGCCGGTCCTGATCCGACTCCCACCGGCCACGAGAGTCGCCTTTACCCCCGTTAGGCTCATAGCGAGGGCTACGTGAGTAGTCATCCAGTCTCCTAGCACGCCCGTACGTCTCGCGATTCCTGCGGTCCCGGTCTATCTCATCATCCCTACGCCGCCATGGTTCATCGTCTCTCTCCCTTTCCCTCGCACGATAATCAGTCAGCGTTCGGGGATTTCTATCCTCGACACTCCTCCATGAATCAGTGTTCCCCCGGTCCCAGCGAAGTGAATAGGGCCCTCCGGGCTTGTCCCGATATGCCGTGGCTCCGGTGGTGGTCACAATCTCTGTAACTTGTCTTGTCAATCTCTTTACTATGTCCCTTATCTCCTTCACTTCCTGGTCACAGCTTCATTCTTTTCCGACCAGGGATAGTTCTTAAAATCAGGACATCTATCAGTGACATACTCATTGTAGAGAGAGAAGTCACGTCTCCTCATCCCTCTCCACACCAAGTCCTTGTAGTCGTCTGCCTCTGCCTTTATCGCGAGCTTCAGGACTTCTGGGAAGTCAAGCTTGTCCCGCGGAAGGTCTCTAAGTATACTCTTCCGTCTACCTTTGGACAGGTGTCCGATGAAGACAGTACAACGCTCGACCTTCGAGATCTTCCCCTTCTTCATCAGCACGTCGGAGATCTTCTGGAAATGCATCCCAAATGCCCGTACGCTCTCATCTTCATCATGAGTCATTGTCTCAAGGTCCTTGATGGAGTATTTGTTATCCTCCAACTTGTAAAGCTCTACAAGGTTCTTTTTGTACGTAGTGCATTTCCCATCCTTGGGTCGGGCTTCCTTAACTTCCTTGCCGAGACTTGGATCTACATTAAATAGGAAGTTCTCTATAATCTCTTCCTCCGAACACTGACTCCGACTGGCGTGAAGTTCCCACTTTTCCAGATATTTTGTGATGCCATAACCCCTGAAAGTAGGAGGCTCCGAGGCGTTGTGCGTAATAATATAGCAATCCTTGCTCTCATAAGGGAGCGGATGTGACTCCCCGGTCTGGGGGTCGAAGACTCACCTGGGCGGCGCTCTATCCCTGTGTCTGTTCCTCCAATAGGATTTCCTCGAACTCTCTCTCTAGTCGTCCCTGTGCCTATCCGCCATGGTCTCCCTCCGATCGTACTCGGGGGAACGTTGTCTCGTTGCTTCTCGTCGTCCGCTCGAGGTTCCTGTCTTCAGAGCCTCCTGTGGCTCTGTCACAACCGGCTCGCCCATTACGTCGGGCTCTCCGTCATTGGTTTGGTCAGCCCATCTCAGCGGTGCTTCTCGCCTAATTCGTTCCTTCAGATCCCTCAGAGCTCGGTCGGGCGATGCCCTGTACTCCTCCCCCGCTTCGCCCGTGGTCGGTTGTGGCCCATCGTATCTGGTTCCATAGGCCACCAGATGATGCAGCTGGGCTCTCACGCCAAGCGTTACAGCCCGGACCTATGACAGTTGTCGCAACCCGGACCTGTGACAGAACTCGCAGCCCGGACCAGTTTCCTTGTCACGGTTCACGCTCGTCTCCAATCCTAGTTCTCGACTGCCCTGATTACCACCTCCAGTACACCGTACCGGTCGCGGATCTCGTGCTCTCCCTCTATCCCAAGAATCCCTGTGTCTAGGTAAACCTCTCCTTCGGGATCGGCCAACAAGGCCGCGCCTCTCCGGATCTGCAGTACACCCGTGGCAGGGTCTCTACTCCTGCGGCAGATCGCGGTCCCAAGCCTAACCAATGTCTCCTGATCAGCACCCCTCAAGAGCCTCCGAGCGTCTAGCTCCGTCCTCCTTGCTAGGTCTCCTAGCCCGTCCTGAATCGGGTAGCCTGCTAAAGGAGGAAGGTCCCCTCCTACTGCCATCCAAAGTTGCTCGTCGAACCTTCTAGCTTCCACTATCCTTCCAAGAGCTTCCAATCTCTATCTCTCCTCCTTTAACTCCCAGACGGCTATGAGGTCATCTGTCTAGCACCTGAGGTAAGTCAGTGCTATAACCACTCGTAGCCTCATCGCCGACAACTCCAATATGTCATAAAATGTCTCAAAGTTCTCTTTATTTCCACTATCCTCTATGGCCTCTAAAGTCTTTATCGATTCCTTCCAGTACCGATCGTGAGCGGCTAGCACCCTGAGTATGGCACCGTCTGTTACAACTCTCCCTAACTCTCCAGCTTTCYTGGCTTCGYTTATYTTCAAYCTCTCAGCCTCTYTGGTCGTCTCGTACCATGCCCTTATCCGAGACCGCCCTTCGAAAGGTGTCACTCGGAGTACGTATTTTATCCTCCGTCCTCCTTCTATTCCAATCCAAAGTCCTGTTCCCCTAGCCTCAYGCAGCGCACGGCGGACACACTCTGCCTCCTCAACTATGCACAGTCTGGTATGGAGCTGGAGCTCTACGATCACTAACACCAACGGCCCGTCCAGTCTCCCTACCACATGCAATAAGTACCGATCCGTCGTGTGTAATGCAGTCCCGCTCATATCCTGTCGCTACCTCCCTGCGTTACCTTGTCCTCCATCGACTCGCCCTCTGCAGACCTCCCCCTAGTTCCTTCACGTGATACGCTCCTAGCTTTTACCCTCTCCAGAAAGTCTGATCTCCACACTTGGATAATCTCTCTCTCCTCCCTAAACAAACTCTCTAACTCTCTCGTCACAAGCTCAGACCTACGCAACTTGCCCTCATCCTGCCACGACCAGATATCCCTTAACTTGTTCCCCAACTCCTTTACCTGGTTCAAGAGTGGTTCTTTAATGCGCTTTCTCACTCTTTCGACTGCCTCACTCTCCTCTTCCATACTCAGTCCTCATCTCTTTCCAGCTCATCCTCTCACCGTCGCTCTAGCCTCCGCTACCGTCTCGTCGTGGAAGTGCTCCGCGCGCATATAACCTAGTGACCATATCATCACCTCATAGGAAATCGAGGTCTGGAAGGTCACTCGCGCCAGTACATCGGCTCTATGCTCATGGATCAAATCTCTGGCTCGTTGCCGGCACTCCCTTGCCGTCAAGTCCTCATCTACGTATGCTCGGAGAAGTACTGTCACAGTGTACCCTGTGCTTACCAGTTGCTCTCCCACACGCATCACTGTGGCCGTCCTCCCCGGCATTCCCTAAGCTGCGGCCTCGAAGAGAAACCTCACATCCTCTAGCCCTACGTAATCGATCTCCACCCGTCTCCTGCAGTACCTAATCAGATCGACTGGCCTCAAACAGTCCACCCAGCAAGTATCGTCTATGATGTCGTCAAGTGTCTGTCTACTGGGTGGTCCCCACCTCACACAAATGGCGTAGTATACTTCTCTGAAACGGGGCGCTGAGCCCTTCCAGAGCGCGTAAAGTGTGTGGTCCACTGCTCTACTCAAACGATCTACGCTCCCATAGGTCTGCCCTATCACGAAGGCAGGAAGTCCGAATCGCCAAGCCTCTCTCGGGTAGAGAGTCGGATGCGGAGGACCGTATACCAAGCGGTTCCAACGCGTCCTCCCCCCAGAGAGTCTCGCCAGTTGCTGATTAACGATCACTCTGGCCAACGACTCGCTTCTCCACCAAGCCCTGCTTGCCCCTGCGAGCGTCAGTCCTACCTCTAAATCGTGTGCTCTATCCGCTATCAGGTGTCCGACCCCTTTTAGGTCATGAGTCCTCTCGGATCGTTCATCTCTTAGTATCACTGTCGAAAGGAAGAGTCCTTCTGCGAGCCACGTTCTAAGGTATCGTATCGGAACACGCCCTGTCCCCTCTAACGCCACATGAAGAGGAATGTCATATCCAACCGCCGTCTCTCTGGGTCCCACAAACTTCCTCACACTATACGATTCGGACTCTCGTGAGAGAACATAAGTTAACCAGGCTACTGAGTCACTCCTCATCTCCCCTCCGACTCTCGATCCCCATCACTCTACTCCTTCCGATGCACCCTATCTCTCGACGTTGCTAACTCCTCAAACAACTCTCCCACTCAGGTCCAGTATGGTCGAGTAGGTGCTGTGCGCTCTCCCGTCTGCTCCATGGAAGTAGATAGTAAACTCGGCGTACCTCTGGCTCCTCCGTATCTCCAGGCCATGTTCCGTCATGAGTCTGATTTGTCGCTCAACAATCTCTAACGCCTCTCCTTCCCAGCCACCCGTCCTATCTCATCGCAGGGAAAGAGTCACCCTCAGTATATCCCGGTCTGCCATACTTTCCACTACTCCCTTCTCTAAACCTCACTCGGATATGCCCTGCCTCTAGTCGTCTCATGCATCCGGCATATCCTCGTCTGTATCCTTATCTACCCTCTGCCCCCATGGGGTGTCCTCCTGCCCCTCGGATTGAAGGAGATAGCCCCAACCGTCCTCCTGCGGCGCCTCTCCACCTACCTGCTCCTGTCCCTCGGCCCGCGCCAGATCTCCCCAGTCCTCGTCCTGGTCACCCCAAGGGTCTATGTCATCGAAGTCCTCCCAATCTCGATCCTCGGCGTACCACGCAAGATCGTCAGCCTCTGGATATACCTGCTGGTAATACTCCTCAACCTCCCCGGTCAAGATGAGATGGCCCGGCCTCTCCTCACGAGTCCCGGCTAACAGCTGTCCCACTCCAGCTAAATGATCTGTAGGCCTCCGAGCCTCTCTCTCAAGCGCCGTCCAGAAGGCCAGGGGCTGATACAGAGAATACAGGTCGCGGCTCCCGGTAGGTACAATGGCCCGCAGGAACTCAATCAACTGAAGCCCTCGCTCGCCTACAAGCGGCCCCGCTACAAACTGCGCATACAGCACCCAGTCCCTGTCAGCGTACCCTCTGCAAAGGCCGTCCAAGTCAAGGGCCGCAAAGTAGATCTCACCCAGACGCCTAAGTCCCCAAAGCTCCTCTGCCACGAAGCACGGAAATGTCACACGCAGTCGACTGCTAGGATATGGGAAGTGTCCTCCAATCCTGAAGGTCGTCTTCACTCTCCGAACAACCCCGTGCAACCGCTCTACCTCGCCCCGCGCGGAGTCCGCTCTAGCCAGTAAGACCCTTCTCGCGGCCTGCTCCTCTCGCCAATGATCGTGTACGAGGCCCTGAAAATAGACCGTAGCTAGCACCTCCGACGAGTAATAAATGTGGCCCACTACCTCTATAGTAGTCATGCCAGGTCGTCGCCTCCCCTGACTGTCCAACTCGAATGTCTCAATGACGTATGTCCACAAATGTACGTCTGGGGCCAACACCGTCGATGACCATCGGCTCTCTATTGCATCCGTGGAAACCCCTCTGGCCGGCAGATCTAGCGCCACTCTGCCTGGTGCTACTGTCTCTGGAGGCCTAGGCCATCTGGCGTCATTGATCTGAAACTCTACTCCACTGTCCGGTTCTACCATCGATCCGCTATCCACTATCGGCTGATATCAGTAGCTAAGCTCACTCAACCGTCGTCCCAATGCTCTGCCTCCTACGCCCGGACTGCTACTCCTATCCTCGGGAAGTGGGCGTCCGTAACATCCATCTCCTTCTCGTCAACCTCACTCCCTGGGTCGACCCAGTCTGGCTCCCAGGCGTCCTCGTCATCCTCTCGCTCCCAACCCTCGTCGTCAAACTCGTCCTCGACGCGGTATGGTGCCTGTCCTATAGCCTGGTAGTACTCCGCCAACTGATGGCCGTATATCATAGATCGCGCGGCGTCCTCACTCCACCAGCTCCCCCAGTCGTCTGAGAAGAGCCGCCCGATGCGGGTCACGTACTCAGGGCCGGCTCGGAGCTCACGGTCTAGCCAATCCCAAACGCACGGAGACTGGGGTCACTCGTCGTCTATCGAACGCACCAGCTCTATAAGCTGAACCCTCTCGTCACCCCAACGAGGTCCACCGGTCGCGAGCGAATAATAGATGTAGTCCACGTCGGCAGGCCTTCTCGCCAGGATCTTAAGATCCTGATAGGCTAGGTACGTCTCGACCACTCCACCAATACCTCCAAAGACACTCTCTACTACGAATGTCGGAACTATCGCCCGCAGACTCCTAATGCTATACGGGAAAAACCCGTCCCGTGCTACCACCAGCTCGCCCGTGATATCAAGAGGAGGGCGGTCATGAAATAGGGTCAACGGGTCGCTCGAGTCTCCCACTCGGAAGGCAGCTACCTCTTCCCTCAGGTAGCGTAACGCCCCGCTAACCGCGCCACTAGTCCCTGTCGTCGCGAGGCCCACCACGGCCTCCCTGACCGCGCCCGGGCCTAAGTACAAGTAGGCTCTTACTACACTCACTCCTTGCTCAGGCCGGTGCTCTCTGTGCGTCCAAAGCCATACGTCATCGGACAAGATTATAGACCTCCACGCAAACTGGCCGTCTACGTGTCGAACGCTGCGCCCGGGGATCGTGAGCTCCACCAGATCCCCCTCTATGAGTTCAGGGGGTTCCAAATCCCAGTCGATGGCGGCCTCATAGACCTCTACTCGCGCTCGCGGTCACATCCAACTGGGGACTAGAGAGAAAGTAGCGAGAGAGATGGGTAAAGAAGGTGAAACATAGTAGAAGAAGGCTAAGGGAATTTCGGCAGCGCTTCGCCTCCCTTCGTTGGGAGCCCCGATATCACGCTGTCTATCTATCTCCTAACTATCCAAAGGTCCCCTATTGTGCTACAGGGCGGAGTCCCGACTCTAAACAAGGTAATAGGCCCTATAGTCGAGTTCCCTCGAATAGAAGGCGTGTGCTCTGTTCGAGGGAATGCCGCCTCCGACTGCTCTGGTCACCCCTCAGGAGTACAAACGTCCTCCCTTATCTAAGAAACAAAATTAGGTGGCCGTGACCTTCTTCCCTCTATTTTTCTAAGCCATCTTAATATTTTTAGAGAATTTTAATGAATTTAAATAAATAAAAATTACTTCTATCTTCTAGAAACCTATTGGCCCTCGACCACTGCCTAGAGGCATGCAAAGCTTCCCCTAGAGAGTAGCGTGGCAAATGCGTTTCTCTTTCCGCCAAT